TTAGTCATTGGGTATATTGCTCCAACCGCAATAGCGGGATTTTTGTCCCCCGTGTGCTCTTCCATTATACACCTTTGTGCGCCGTGAATGTCGATTTTATACACAACGTCGTTGATGCTAATGAGTTTGCAAAATTCGATATTATTTCGGACTTCATAGTTCACAGGATTCAAAACTTTCTACTGTCCAAACCTTTTTTATAGATGAATGTATAATTTCCCACAGTAAGGACAGTCGTAGAAGTCTATGCTCCAACCAATGGAAAATGTCGTTGATTTCTTTCCCCCACGTGTGTACTGTTTTCGATCGAAAACAACGTCTAACGTGTCATCTCGATGTTCGACGGTCCATGATATCTCGTCATTTTTATCAAATAGATAATGAACCTGACTGTGCACTAAGCATTCTATCCTCATTTTGAACTCTTTCCTTAGAGCATGATCATTGGATATTCGAGTTTTGAAGCGCCCAAGCGATCCGACAAGTGTAGGGTTGTTGAATGCTTCCTGAGACGTAAGTGTGACATTGTGAAACTCCTCTCTAACAAGGAACATCGTATTGATTTTTTTATCGTTCACCTTGACTGCTGTGAAAAGTGTCATAACGGTGGTATTATGTTTCAACACCCGGATTCGACCGTAATTTTCGTAAAAATCTACAAAGGTCGGGAAGTGCAAGTGTGGTTTTCCAATGCAAAACCAAACACATTGTTTGGCGTGCTTTCTGTTTTGCTGTGACCATTCTTGTTTTACACACAATGTTTTCCACGCGTGAATCATCTTCATTGGTGTAACAGGGTCTTCGACACTGTCCTCGTCGTTGGGCTCTTCATTAACTTCTTTCTCCAATGAGTACTAGTACCAGAAGTCTTTGTCGTCGCCATGATGAAGCTCTATGTCGTTGCCCACCATAACCCAAGACATGGGGATTTCACCATCTGGCGCAATATTTTCGACAAGGTGCAAATACCGAGGGTCTGTGTTGACAATATCGTTTTCCCATATATTCTTGTCGAATATTATGAGATCCAGGGCTGATGTATTTAAATTGTTGTCTTCCGATAAAGTCCCAGTCGATGATGCGTTGTCATGCAACGCATTGTGAGTGACATTCATCCTGCAATACGAGAATAATCACGACAAACCTGTGTCAGCGATCCGGCGTGATGATTGTCTATCATATCGTGTGCATGATGTATTTGTTGTCGGACACACCTTGTGGTGCCATGAAATTTCTCGAGAAATTGGACCTATGGTTGTGATCTGTGGTGAAAGTTCCACTTCTCATTTCCCATACAAGTACTGTGCATAGTTTATGTTTGGCGGTTGATGAACGATGTGAAATAAATGGGAGTAAGAAAGCAACGAGTATATTCTACATGACACGCAACCATTTGATGGTCAAGCTGCGACACAACGGCCGACTATTTCGCGGTCCAGCTTCGGTGTAACACCTAACATCACACGAGTTGTCTGACATTCTACCACTCGACCATTCGCACCATACGACGACTGCAAGCTGACAGAAATCCGTTCGCCCCACCGTCTGATGGTTGAGCCTCATTATGAGACTAGACAATCTGATGGTTGAGCTTCGTCATGACATTCGACGATTTCATGGTAAAGCGTCACTATGTCACTCTATCAACCGACCATTTATACCATACCATCACCGTGAGCAGGCAAACTACCTGCCATCGCACCATCCAAGCGTCCCACCAACCCACCATCAAAGCAACGCATACAGGCCTGGACCCAACGATGGATCATCCTGTCATCCCACTGTCCTACTATATGCTGATCGAGCTTCGTGACAACACCCGATCATCTGATTGTCGAGCGTCCCCACCGTATGCTTAACTACTGTAGCATATGTTTCACATTTTGTTACATTCAATCATTGTCATGTGTATCTTTAACAATTATCATTATTGTCACACCCTTTGCCCCCCCTGATGATTAAGAGGCTAACTCACATTACAGTACGCCAGTGCCTGCCCCGTGAACGTGACCGGCCGGTCACCGGGGCCAAAATCCGTGAACGGCCGTTTACGGGTTTTCCTGCCATGTGGGTGCCCCTACGGTCGGGATCGGGGCAGGAGGGGGGTGGTGCGGGGGCCTTCTACACCCCCATGCCTTTCAAATTGTTGGTGTCTTCGATAAAAAAAACAAAACAAAAAAACACAATGGGGTGTCTTCGATAAAAAAAAAAAAAAACTTTGGGGGGGGGGGGGGGGGGGGGGGGGGGGGGGAGTGATTGCGACTTATGCCGCCGGAAATGAGAGCAGAAAGATACAGGGAAAAGAGCAGTAGAGGGAATTTCAAAGCGTTGCTGAGGTAATCGTGTGTCGATCGGGCAGGCGTCTTCACCAGCATAGGACGCCCGGTCGTTATAGCAGCTGTATTTAGTGCAATTTTCGGCGTAGATAACAGAGATTATGACTGGGCGGGGCGTCCTACTCGGGTTAAGAGGGGGTACTCCTGACCAGGGGTCGTGCCGACCACTGGGGCTCTGTCTCAGGGAAGGAACGGACCGGGTGTGAACGACCATTGCAGGCGACCGATCACATAGTGTGAACGACCATCGCAGGCGACCGGTCGCTTACGAGGGTGACTCCTCCTCATCTTGTACCATCTCGCTGGAACGGACAGCTAACGACGAGGAAGATCGGGGTCGAGGGGGGAGGGGGGAGGGGGGAGGGGGAAGGGAATGGAGGGTTGGGAGAGAAAGGAGAAGGGTGGGAAGGGTGTGGACTCTGTGGAGTGAGGGGCCCTTGACATCGAAGACTACCTTCGGTCCTCGCCCTTTCGAATCAGACAGATCCAGAAAAAGAAAGTAAAAAAAAAAAAAAAAAAAAAAAGAAAGACATAGTGGGGGGAATGCCCCCGGAAGCGACCACGTGTCCCATGTGAGAAAGTCATAGTGGGGGGAATGCCCC